GGGAAAGAGGACTTATTTGTAGTCTGAGTGGCAATGTAAATTCCTTTTTAAAGTGTATTATGTTATGGTAAATGCTATGAACTTAGCCAACAATAAACTTCTCACCTGCAACTGTGCAAAAATTAATATACCTCACATGCGATGATTATCATCTACGATGTGCTCTGAATGGATTCATAAAATAAAGAGCATTTGAAAGTAAAAGTGCTTTGTGTTGTATTTTCTAATATCTATTTATTTAAAACCTGCCTCATAATGCAGGTTGGAAGGCGTTGGAACCCAGGGAACCTGCTGGGATAGAATGATCACAGCGTTTAACACAGAAGGATAAAAGGTTCTCTGCAGGCCTCAGGTGAGCAATAAAAAGCTGTTCTGCTGTCAGTCGCCAACTGACTGAAGTCTTTTCTTAGGAGAGCCGTAATAAAGGGCTTGGCTGGGAAGTGTATGTTGCAAGCTCTATTTGTAGCAGAAAAGCTGTCAAGGCTGGATTACTCAAATTAGCACTAATTGCATGCATTTCTTTCTTTTTTTTTTTTTTTAAATTTATTTCATAGCCTGTTTTGGTTTCCTGCATTTTTTTCTTTGCCTTGAAGATTTATTCAAAAAGAAGTTCTGTAAAAATTTTATGCACTGTTAACTTTGTGTAGTGGCATTGCTGAATACCTGACATTGCAGTTTTGTGCCTGTTCCCTCCATCCTACTTCCCTGGGGAAGGCTGAGAAAGAAGTAAAATACTTAGTCTCTTCCACAGATGGAAAATACTATCAACACATGAAGCTGAAACATTGTCGGACTCTGAGATACCAAAATACCCCGCGGAGCCGCACTATTTCTCCCCCTCCCTTCCTGAGAAGGGTCTGACTTGGTCATTCTCTTGTCCCACAACCTTTCGCCTGCCAACTCATCTGCTATGCTGGATAAGTGCCTCAGTTGAATAAATCTCCACCTGTTTCTCGGACCTCCTTGTTCATCCCACCTTCATCCTTAGAGTCAAAGGCTACATGGATTTCACAGCTTTATCTAGAGTCCTACAGGTGCTTTTTGTCTTACTTCTGTGAGAGAATCGGAAAATAGCCCCCAAAGTAGTTGCAGAAGAAAGAACATGGGAAAGCTTTTGATTTTGCTGCGTCTCGTTTTTAAGCTCTATGTGCTAAGTCATGGTGAACGTTCCCTTGAACGGGGTGTAATGCTAAGTCTGGAAAAGGTTGACAAGCTGGAGAAAAACTGCTTCATGGTAGGAAGGAGCACGTGCCCTTTGGAGAACCTGGACAGGGTTTACTTCCCAGATTTACCTCCAGTGAAGCTGGCTGGGAACACAATGGATCAAAATCATCGAACTGGTGATACCTGTTTCCAAACCACCATGAGTCTACTCCTTGTTTAGTCAGAACCTGCTAACTTTGCCTTCAAACCCAGGGAATTTCCCAGAGTTTCTGTAATAAGAAAGAGGCAAAATCCACAGGAATATTTTTGATTTGCCCTATATATTCTCTTTTTTTTAACTGATCTGAACTACTTTGTTGCTGATTGATTGGTTCTAAACAAGTTTGTATTTTCTATTGTGAGTACGTTCGTATGCGGAAATTCTGGTTTGCACTTTCTGCCTCTCCTCACCCACTCACCTTCAAGTCAGAGGAAAGAAAAGGGACATGAGACCACTGGTCTGCAATTCCCAGGAAATAATGCAACATAATGAGAAAATTCAGCTTAATATTGGCTGTTAGTATCAGTACAACAGGACCGACTCACAATGAAAGCATTTGGATCAGTTCAGCATGAGGTGTTTGGGTCAGATGCAGTGAAATGTTTTGATTCAAGAATTCCAGAGTTTCATTTCAATTATTATGATATTTCAGTACAAAGTCCTTCAGAACTTCAATTGTGCAAAATAACAGATATAAACCTTTTGTTATGCTCAGAGACAGAAGCGCATGTTGAAAGATGCCTGTGAGACCTAACTCAGAGACAGAGGGAAGTAAGACCCTTAAAGAAGCCCATCTTCATCTAGTATCTTCTTGAAGGCGAATTTCTGCGTATCACAATAGTTATGTCAAAAAGTGTTTACAAAGCACAGGAAGTTATTAGATAACTACAGGGAAAGCTACACTGGCCTCCAGAAGAAGAACTCTTTCTTTCCTTATCGTGCTCATCTCTAATAGGCACACAGAAATTTTACCATTCCTTAGCAAGAGGAATAGCACCAAATGAGTGCAAAAACTTGAACCAAAACAGCATCCTCTTATATAGCATCTGTTGGTGCTGCTGTAGAGAAAACCCATTTAGTCATACCTCTTGGTTGTATTGTACATTGCAGCGAGCATATTTTCAACCAAAGTCTATCTATTCAGCAACTATCTTTTAATACTGAGGACAAGTTCGCAGCCTTGTCTTCCAACTCCATACCTAGCAAAGCGTATGGTGACAGGGCCCATGCATACTGCTGGGGCAGTCGAGCAACTCTCCTCCTTGTGTATTGACACTGGTCTTTCTCAAATGCTTTAAAAGAAGGTTGGGAAGGGGAGGAAAAAATAAAAGTCGTCCTCAACGTAATAATAAACTGTTCTGCCCCAAAAGAACATTTGTTTCTGGCAGAGAGCTCTGGGAGAGCTGTTGGGAAGCTCTCCTCTGAACTTCACTCGTAAGGAAGGTTTTGCAGCTTGCCCCTAAGAAAGCTAATCCACCTTCCTGGACTCAGCCTGGCGGTGAGGATGATTTCCTGGAAACTGAATCTGGGCCTTGATATTGTCATTCTACCCGGTTTTAACACAGGGAATCAGATGAAGTTCTTGTGTTTTGCCTTCTGAGCTGTTTGATGGCATGGTGAAGTTTTCAGGCTTTCCTCTGCAACCTGGAGTCTTGAAATGTACATGAAAATGTGGGCCAAGCTTCTCCCCTAGTCACAAAATCCTAGAGCTGAAGCTTTAGGAAAACTAGTATCTTGCTTGAGATTTGTGGTAGGACTGTGTAATTTAGTTGCTCTCCCAACATGGGAACATTTCAGTTTCTGTAGCGTTTTTCACTTTGGTTTAGCACCTTGCATGAAATCTTCCTTTTGAATGGGTGCTTTGCCAGAGGAGGTGCGTGATATTAGCTGTAACAGGAAGCATACCCTTTCCAGAGACATTCGGTAATCTGATCTGCGGTGAGTGCGCACATTAAAAGATGCATTTTCAGAGGTGTTTTCAGTTATATCCTTTTCTTCAGATTGTTACAGGTTTGTTCTTTGTTGCTAGCTCCAGTCTGCACTCTGCTCCTTCGCTGTCCTAGTTTTTTCCTGTTAATTCTGTCAATCAAATATAGGTTTCCCTCATTGCATCAAAATGTATGACTTCTGAGACCGTTTCCTCGACTATGATTGCTTTAGTAAATAACCGAATTTCCTCATTCGCTGAAGACCCACACAAGGAATCATCTGTAATGACAAACATTTTCTATTTAGCTGTATTAGAAACTGAAGCACTGATTGCAGAAAGCTGTTACGATTACAGACAGTTTAAGACTACCAGGCATTCATGATTTTAAATGTCATTTACTAGTCGCGTAATAGCCTCATCAGCACCAATTAGTCCTATTAGTGTAGTACCTTTGCTGACGAAAATCATGAAGTTGACCTCTTTTTTCCACATAAAACTATTTAGAATTTTGTTCATTTATTTTGCATTATCTCTGGGTTTGCAAGCAGAGTTGTGAGTTCAATGATTACTACACAGTAAGTAAAAAATAAACTACATGTTTCAAAATATAAGAAGTATTTTCTGGTGGTATAGCATCTTTTTTGAAAAACATGATTTCAAACTCCTCAGCACGTAGGCACGCGAATAATTCCAGCATAATACATATTTGTTTGTGGGATTAAGGCTGACAGCTTCACACTGTATAAACTACACAAATACCTAAGGTGAAATGAATTATGCAGCTAGTCATGTTTAAATCTACAGTACTTCTTTCTGAGTTACGGACAGCTGTTGTAGATACAAAAGATAAGTCTTCATTTATGCATCCCATATTTGCTTGTTAAAATTAATTCACATTAGTGACAAGAGTCCTGCATTTCATTACAAGAGAAGTCTCATTGTATGTTTATCCTGCACCTTTCCCTCGACAACTTTTCGGTCGCTGAAAGATGCAATGCCAGATGAGCCTTTGAAATGACCCATATGGCCATCTGTCTGGTCTCAGGGCATCATGGGCACACTAGGTCTCCTTTGCATTGTATGAGTTAAATTTGGGTAAACTAACCAACCTGAAATATTAAAAACAGTTTTACAGTTTCCATTTTAATTTCTCTTCCCAGTGCTGGACAACCCTCCATAAAAACAGCAGCAACAACAACAAAAAAAAAGGACAGAAAAGGCAGAAAAAGACTTTATATCATCCTATAATTTGAAGCTATTTCTACTGTTAGGTGGTGAAGCTTGTTAATCTATTGATGCAAAGTAAATGATGGAACTGCTCCTATCTGTTGGCCATACTGTGAACACTAAAATAAAATCAATTGCCAGCAATCAGGACCCTTCTGTTCTAGTTCAGTGATTTGTCTTTGGCTAGAAAAGCTAGCATAAAGTGAAAAAATCTGTGGCAGGGCAGTTGTGTTCCTCATATATCTGTCTCATGTTCCCTGAGTTTTTCAGTGAGAGGCTCTGTACAGCATCTCAAGGCATAGACCAAAAGATCCAGGAAATGAAAACAGGTAAATGTGGCCTTCTCCACTGCCGGCTTTGCTGCAGACGCACGCACGTGAACTGCCTGCGTGGCTTCCCCCTCACGGCCGGGAGAGAAGGAGGCCTTTTTGGGCAGTTCAATTCACCCTATTAGGGACGTCTGAAATAGTCAGATGGTGGCCCAGAAGCGTCTCTTTGTCTCTGAGGACTGTAAATGGAGGCCAAGGTGACTAGCTAAGGTGTGAGTAGCCCAAAGAGTGGGTGTGAAAATGAGGAAGGTCACACCTCACACCTCTCTTTCTGCAAAGCTGTGACAGAAGCTTCTCTGCCCTCCTCTTCCAGCTACTCTACCACAGCTTTGCCTACCACCTTCAAATCCTCAACAACTGTAGCTTTTATTCTGGTTTTACCAGCTTCTTTTCTCATCAAAAATTTCATTTTTAAGAATTCTAGACAGTTTTTCAAGTGTATTTGGGCAGCAGTGGATAACAGTCTCCGCTAGCCATTTAATATAAATTTCTGAGAGTGCCATTGTCCATTAGGGCTTGTTTTCGATGACTGATCCCTAGGTCATGATTTCTCTGTGCTGTAGAGCTACTAACTCTTATCTGTAACCTCGAATGTCCAGAGCAGCTACTTGAGCCGCTGCCTGGGCACAGCAGGCTGTTGAGCTGTTTGTGGCACAGCACACATAAGTTAATGTTTTTTTGCAGGGAAGATGCTCCTGGGGCCTTGCCATGCCCAGCAGCAGCTAGTGGTTGGTAAGAGCGTAACACTTGGTCCTTTTGGGGCCAGCCTGCTGCCAGTGTGGCTTCATTGACACCCTTCAACGTACAGACTGTTTTGATAGAGATTTAAGCAGCTCCCCAGAGTTGAGTGTGCTGTTCTTTGCTGGGCTGTGTTTCCAGATTAGGTTTTGCAGCAGAGAACATACTGCTAAGCTGAAGGAGCATGACTGAGTTACACCACTGTACCCTCCACCACCCTTACTAACACGCTTCTGATAATAATTATTCGTGCAAAGCCAAATACAACTCCAGCATGTTGTGGTGGAGGATAGGCAGCAGGACCGCTAACCTGTCCCTGCCTTGCTGGTACCACCCCTGTGGAGCAATCTGGGAGAGTGAGACAAGCGTAGTAAGCTGATATCCATCTGAGCCTGTTTTCCCAGAATACCCTCACATCCCCCTTAAACGTTGTGTTGCACACAGCAGCACATCTGACTGCGGAAGGAAAAGCCTTTTGGTGCCTATGTGTGGCTCTGTAAGAGCTCTGCCCTTGAAGTCGCTGACTCTAGAATCCTAATTTCAATCCATGCTGATGATTTACTATAGCACTACTTAAGGTGACCCTTTTCAGCACGGTTGGGACTAAATCCTTAATGTTTCTGCATTTTCATTCTCCCAGGATGAGTCTTACATAGACCCTATTACCTGGCGAATGCACTCAGTTGTTGCACCAAATTTTGCAATGCAGCGTCATCATGATTAGGCTATACTTAGGCCTTCCAAATTCAATTGGGCTAGACCCTCTAAACTTTCCTTAACAAAGACCTTCAGGAGCCTTAGATTACTGCTCATATTACAGCTAATATCCTACTGTTTTCAAACTATATTATTGACCCTACCGCAAGTATGAGATAATCAAATTTTATGAATAGCTAATTTTGCCCACCTGGATAACAATCAGCATAAAAGAGTGCTTACAGAAATCCCTAAGTAGACAGGTGTCTTCATTTTTCTCTCTCCTTCCTGCACAACCCTGCACAACTGTTCCTTTCTGCTAAGCCACTGACCATGGCTTGCTGTGAGGACATTCTTATATTACTGATTTTGTTCCCAAAGGTACTCATAGAGGTTTTTTGTGGTACTATCACTCAGATGAGCCAGGAAAGCATTTGAGCTCTCAAGCATTGAAGACAGTGAGGAGAAAGCATTCACACTTGACTGGAGACCCAGGAGCTTCTCTTGTGTCTGGTGAGATACAACAGGCTCTGTTTTAGATACTGACCTGGGCCAGTGGGACCTGTTTCTTGACTTGCTTTTAGTGTTCCAGAGGCTGAATCGGACTCTTTTTTGCACGTGAACTGCTGGACTTGCCAGTGGTGAAGCTGATAAACAGTGAACATGCAGGTGATTTAGCTGCAAGTTGCATCAGCTGTGGGTCAGCAGCCAGAGGCCCATGTTACGTTAGGTGCAGTGCCACGTGGGTTAGGGACTGACTTGTCCTGAGCAACTCTGTGCCCAGCTGGTAAGGGGAATGAGGGATGGCAGGCATCAGAGGTAAAGCGATGGAGGGACCAGGCGGTGCAAAGAGCAGGAGGTCCCTGAGTCAGACCAACTTGGTGGTCAGCTAACAAAGTTGTCCTTCGCTGTGTCTTGAGGGGAAAAAAATAGCAGCTATAGCTATATACAAAGAAATATTAATTTTTTTCCCAGTATTCAGAAGGGCCAGTGGCCCTTGTAAAGCCATGTATCACGTAAAAAATGCAAATGATCTTTTGTATAAACCAAGCAGGTGTGATGTAATACTAACACAAACAGTAAAAGGGCTATGTTTTCTTTCAGAAGTGTTACTGACTATTTTCTCATCTGTGGGATGCTAATTTCCTGGGAAAGAGAAGTACACAGCTTTAAAATAAAGAAACACAAAACTTATGAATTGTATCAGTTCTTTTATTTCTTTGAAAAACTGCACAGTACTAGACTACTGAAAGAATAAAAGCTGTGATTAAGTATCATCAGAAAGGAGTCAATCCGAGGGAAAAAAAAAAAAGACCTAGAAATCTTAGCTATTACAGAGTATGAAGTTTGAGCTGGGATGTCTGGCTGTTATTTCCTGTTTGAGTAAGTCCAGAAATGGAGAAGTTATTGATGGAAGTTTCTAGTTTAACAAGCTGTGGAGGAAAAGAGAAGAAACAGGTTAAGGGATATATTGTTTTTCCCTCAGATTACAAGAGGTGTTAGAAAGTACTTGCTAGAAGTAGCACATCAAAAAGAGTGTGTGCATGCATCAGGCAATTTTTACCAATTGCTTGCCCACCCATCCTTCAAAGTGCCTACTAACTACGATTCCATTTAGTAAAACTGAATTATGGTGAATTTTTACAGGGACAAAATACGCTATGAGGTGGGTTGGAATCAACTGGGGCTACTAATTATCAGATATGCTGAAAGGTTTCTCCTAATTAAAAAATGGAAGGGGGAGGTATCAGAAATTTTTCTTAGGTTCATGTCAAGTTTCTAAAGCAAAGTACTTTATCTCTTAGCATAAAGCAGATAGATAGCTACACCTCTACTGTCATGTTTGTTGAGGGCTTGAGCTCACATGTGAGGCCAAACTACCTGCACAGCCACATCGCCTACAACTGATTGGCCACTAACACCTGCCTTTTTTGCAAGAAGTTGGTCTTTTTAGGATTAAGCCACCAGCTCCTCACACCTTCGGCAATGGAGCTCTGAACTTACACCGGTAAGGAAGAGAGATCCCATCCTGCTTGTTGCCTTTAACGCCACTGCTCCCAATATATGACTTGCAGAGCAAACCAAGAGCAGACATGGCATAATGCCCTGCTAGGAGCTGTTGTGCGTTCCCAGGGAAGAATAGGAGAATGTTTCATGCGGGTCCTTACCTTCCTGCACTGTGCGGCGGTAGAAGCACCAGGGGACACCAGCGGGGTGTGGCACAAAGCAGCAGCCCAGCTTTTCACACTGTTGAGCTGTGATGCCGGGGAAGCCGCAGTTTACTCTGGCATGAACCTCAGAAGGACATACTTTCTTGACTGCGTAAAACAAAAACAAAGGAAGGGAGGAGGACATATTACTTTATATTTCTTTTACCTGGTACAATATTATTACTCTGACTGGGGAGCCAGAGCTATAAATGAGCAGAGCCTACAGCCACGCTTAAAAGGCAGGGCAGAGCCTGTGGTTGTCTGTTACCCTCTCATTAAAACTCCTTGGTAGTACAGAGGGTGGAGACCCAGGCTCCCTGCTACACCAAGCACAGGCAGTCACACAGATGATGGTGGGAGTTTTGTCACAGCCTAGGTTATAAATCCCTGGTGAAAAGAGCGTTATACTAGCTGGAGCTGCCTAGGATGCAGTTGGCTGCCTTGCAGGGCGCAGGGCCTCAGTCCTCCAGTGCCTTCTGGGGTACAGCCAGCTACATTTGTGCCAGCAAGCCTCAGAGAGGAACTGGGGGGCAAAACCAGAGCATTCACCACAGCAGGGCTGAGCTGCTGCGCTCTAGGGCTTGGAGGGTGCAAAATCCTGCCCTGTGGGCAGAGACCTGGCTTTACCCTCCTATAGATCTAGTGATGGGGTGAAAAGCCGTATGTCTCCCATAATGATGCCACAGATGCTAGCTTTGGTCCAGGGTGTTGCCCGGAGGTGGCTTGATGCAAGGAGCTAACCTGAGGGCAGCCTGGCTAATGCAAAAGAGTTGGCTGCAGTGAGTGGGAGGAAGGACCAGCCACCTCTGCATGCAAACTCCAGTTATAGAAAGGAGGTAAGCCATTTATGGGGAAATCATTGTAATCCTGTTCAAGAAAAGAAAGGAAAAAATGAAGGCAGGAGTTTAAATTTTCCAGTATGGATTTACTGGAAATGCAATGGAGAAAAGGATCTGCCTGAAGTAGTTTGATGATTTCACTGGATGGTGACCTGGAGCAAAATAGGAGAGAGAGAGAACAACCGAGGGGAATTATACTGGGAAGTGGGCCGAAAAGGAAGGAAGCAGCAAGTATCAAAAGAACCTGGAGAAAAGAAGACAAACCTAGAAGTTATAGGATGCCTGGGGTCTTTTAAAGAGTCATTAAAAATCTGCAGATGGACTCACCTACTGAGGACTTTCTGATTTCTTTGCTAGGCAGTGCTAAGGTCCTCATTAGCCACTTAAAAAACCTGTTTAAATAAGTGCTGAGGATCCCTTGCTCCACTGATGAACAAGACAATGGCTGGCAGTGACACATTTTAAAATCATTAGCTTGGGTTATTTGATGATTGGAAGCCTGATGGGAAAAAAGGTGGTTGCTGCAAGGATAATGGGGTGCAAGACTGATGGGTAAGCAAGGTCTAAGTCTGCATGCTGCTATCAGCAGTTTTCTGTTACAGGTCTATGCCCACTTGGTTGGCCTTACTGTAAAAGTAGAGCTATTCTCCAGTTTTACACATTTCCGCATAATCAAGCACTAGGCAGATCAGTGTTTCTGGCGGATGTATTACCTCTCCTTTCTTTTGGAGCGAAGCACCAGGGAACGCCAGGGACTGAAGCACTGAAACAGCATCCAGCTCTCCTGCACTCTTCTGCTGTGATTCCTGGATGTCCGCAGTTCTTCCTCTCAGTGGGGGCCGTTTTACACTGGCATCTTGCTGTTGAGGACAAAAATAGTAAGTTATTGGGTGCCTGTTGGTGTGCTTGTTAGTGGAAGTCCAGGTATCAGTTGTCTATTGGAAACAATGAACTTTCCCTAGACTATGGCAGTCTTGTTAGCATACATTTTCTGCGGCTTGCTGAGATCAGAACCTGAGTGGTTTAAAATCTGCTATTGGTAAAAAGATATCAGGTGAAATGCTGGACGTGTTACTTTTGGGGTGAAACTCCCACCGATTTCAGTAAGAAAAGTATAAGTGAAAAGTGAAGTAAGCATACTTCACTCATTAAGAATCTGTGGTCTCACCTGCACCCTGCCCAGCCCAGCACATTGAGGGCCAGGCAGTTCAATTAGACCAGACCTAATGGTAAAAGAAATGTAACTTACACTAGCAAATGTTTGTTGTTTTGCCCATCTCACAGAATCACAGAATATTTGGGGTTGGAAGGCACCTCTTGAGATCGTCAGGTCCAACCCCCCTGCTCAAGCAGGGTCAGGTAGAGCATGCTGTCCAGGACTTTGTGCAGTCAGTTTTGAATATCTCCAGAAACGGAGGCTGCACAGTTTCTCTGGGCAACCCGTTCCAGCCACCTTCACAGTAAACAAATTTCTTCTCAAGTTCAGGTGGAATTTCCTGTATTTCAGTTTGTGCCCACTGCTTCTCATCCTGTCAGTGGGCACCACTGAGAATAGTCCGGCTCCATCTTCCTTACTCCCCTCGACCAGATATCTCATTTGATGAAGGAAAGAGTTAGGGATATTAGAATAGGTGGAAAGATGCAAAATCTCTGCACTGTCTTCAGGAGAGCACAAAAAATATAGGATTATGTACAAATAGTTACAGCTGTACTTTCAACATTTTAAGTCTACCTCATAGACATCCCCAACCAAGAAACTCTGGAGATGTCGTTAGGGATCTGTTACTGAGTTACTTACTTCTCACTTTTTAGATTGTCTAAATGACTCTCTTTTATTGAGGAGGCAGATAGATTTCTTTGAACTTGCATTCACATAACAAAGTAGCATAAAATACATGTCAGAGGACTATTGAGACAGAGCTAGTTCCTGCAGTCCTTCTGGAGGAAAGGTTTGTCTAGTAAACTAGGTAAGTCATTTTAGGTATTTCTGCCCCTCCGCCTTTATAGCAGACTCCTGATTGTTCTGCTAACATAAGAGTTCTCCTGGAGTCTGCTCCTCATGTTAATACTATATATACATGTATATTTTTTTGCCTTAGATTTCTCTGCAAAAATTAAAAAAATAGACCCCAGTTTCTGGATGCATATCAGAGCAAGATATTCACTATTTGATACATAAACTGGGGACATGCTCTTGCTGCAATTACAATCAGTAGCAGCAGGCCCACATACATACCCGTTAAAGCAACAGCAAGCAAGCGTACTTACTCGGTGGCAACTTTGCTTCTGCCAAGGTGCTGAGGGCTACGACGAGGATGACGGAGAGCACACAGATCCCTTTCAGATCCATTGTTGTCAAGAGCCCCCAGGCCTCGAACTACTTTAAGTAGGAAGGGAGATCGAGGTGAGGTGCTGCTTTCCCTCGGAGCAGCTCATTTTATACATTCCTTGTGTTTGCGCAGCGAGACCTGATAACATTGTTCCACAAGATGCTTCAGCCAGAGGTTGTTTTTTTTCCTTTAATTAGGAAATGTTACTATGTATATTCTGATATCTCTGATCCCTGAGATAAATTTCCAGGCTCTTGTGACCAATTCCATTACTGCGTGCCTCTGACAGCCTCAGCTGACCTCATTGTCATTAGAGTATTTCAAATCTCTGAGCAGCTTTAAATGATTGCCACTATTGAAAACACATGTATATGTATATAAAATATAGTCTATTTATACATACACACGCACACACACAACATATATATATATATATAAAAATTCCCTCTCCAAGTATATCCTTTCTGCCTCAGACTTTCCTTGGCCTTAAGTCCAGTTCAGGTTACGCTTACTCTGAAAATGGTAAGGCAAGAGAAGCTGAAGGTCTGACATCTCCAAGCTTTGGAAGACCATAGCATGTGCTTTGCTGGGAAACTAAGATCTTTTCTAGTCCAGGGGTCGGATTCAAACATCTCAGCTGATATTTCGAACGATATATCCAAAGCAAGAAAGAAGATCAGACTCTCTGGAGCAAACCCCATCAGGCCCTGTAGAGTTTTTCTTGAGAAAGTCATGGTAGAGTCTGCTTTCCTTTTCTCCGCCCTGTAGAGAAAACTACCTGAAAACTAACTTCTGAAGCACTAGGTTTAGCCTGTTAATTTCCTCATTGTTTCCTTTCTGATTTAACAAATGACTTTTAATGCAGCCTTTGGACTGTATCAAGACACGGAACCTTTTGGACTGGACTGTTCATTCAAGTTTTAATCTCCCTTTTGGACCTTTTTGCATCATTTATTGTCAGATTTCTTAACTTTTAACTACTTTCTAGTGTTTGAACACAGTTAGTCCTGCTAGATTTCACACTTAATAGAACAGAAGGCACCATTTCCCTGGGGAAATTAATTTGATTCCTAACTCTGGTAGGTTGCATGATGGAACAACCATGATTCTCTAACCAAAAGAGAATGAAACGTGTCTTAAGGAAAAGACCAAGAAAAGAAAAGAAAAGAAAAGAAAAGAAAAGAAAAGAAAAGAAAAGAAAAACCAGATCAAAGAAAAATCAGTTCCTCCTAGCAGCAACACTCACTTGGAGAACAGGCACAGTCATTCAGGGACCGGCACGGGAGGGAGACCATGGTTGCAAACTGGGGCACCTGCGGAAGGGGCAGAGATGGCCACAGCTCACATCAGGCAGTCACAGCACCCCTTTTCATTACACTGAAACATGCTATGGGGAAGCTGGGTCTGGTGCATCCCAACAGGGGACATTGGGCTCAGGGGCGAAGAGTGCCCTACGGCAAAACTCGTGAGGCACCGGACTGACATTTCCAGAGAAACTCCAAGGAATCAGATGCTTTGCTAAGAAGTGTTGTATTTACCCCACAGAAATCTTACTTTTTTAAAGAATAGCTTTTCATCATTGAAAACCTTGTTGCCTGAGTTAATTGTTTTTTCTTTACTAGTCTCAGTTATGTGAACCTAGATAAAACATACATACTGTCAATATTAATAGCTCTGCCTTCTCAGCCACCAGGGAGTTCGTCCTGTTCATCAGTAGGAAGAGGATTAAATGTATTTTTTGATCTTTGATAGGACTATGTCTTTGTGTCTTTGGTTATTATATATGAGGTTGTTTTGTGCCTCTTTTGTTGACGAAGTTCAAAGCAGGAACATTTAACTTCTACAGTTGTGCTTTGAGGGTAATTTATCTGTTGAAAAGTATTTTGAACCCTGTAGGAGGGTGTTGGGTCTACAAGGGCAAAAATAATGGAGCTCATTTTCTTACTGTCCATCTGCATTTAATACATTAATGGCATTTTTTATTGAAAGGTATGATTTGCAAAACAGACATTTTGCGTATTCTTCAATTCACAAACCATCAAGCTGCAAGCAGAAGGGGACTGTGCTCCAACACTCAAGCAATATTGTAATTTTTACTTCCGTCACTGGGAGAAAAAATTGGATCTAAACTTCAAAAATCCAGTCTTTTCCTTACGTGCGATGTTGACAGTGATCTTGATGATCAGCTGTGGTGCTAAATCCACTGAAGTTATTGGCAATTTTTCCACTGATTTTATCTGTGATTTTATCTGGACCAACACCACTTCATGCAGAAGGTGTGAACGGCTGAAACAGTGCCTTTGTACAAAACAAAAATGATTATGTGGAATGGGGAACTTTGTTGCTTTCAGGGAGCTGCAAGAGTTCTCAGCAGATTATCAGCCCATAGTATGAGTCAGGTGAAACTGCTGATAAAGTTTGTCACTCCTGCCTCTTACTGAATACTTAATTAAATCCTTATCCATCAGCTGTCACCTATTGGGCCTGATCCCACTGCATGCACAAAGACAAATCTACCACTGAGTTTTCACTGCGGAAAGAGTATATGATTGGCATCTTAAACAAATATCCTGAAAGAAATAGGCTTCTTGCTTTTTGCCAGCAGATTACTTTAAATTCTTTAATATATTTGTATAATAAAGCCTTGAAAATTAACTTGGATTTCATTGCAAAAGCTTTTCCTTCTCTTGGGCCAGCATCCACCTAGACCATTTGGTAACTCCATGTTGAGTGCCCAGGCTCTGCTAGTCCTTGAAGAGCTGACCAACCACTACAGGCACCGAGAAGGGAGGCGTGCTGGGGCCAAAAGGGACTTGAAGGGCTTCTTCCTTCTCTCCTAGCCTCCTTGTCCTCTCTCTCCAGCCTCCTACTGCCTCATGAGGCTTTTAATTGAACTGTGGTGCTCACAACAGAGGTAAGCTTCTGCCTCCCAGCCTATTTTTCCATCCCAGAAGTAGCACTGGGAAATGAGAAATCACAACAGCTGGCTGCCCTTTTTTAAGGCTGTAACATTTTATTCTGATATTTCAGAACTTCTAAAGGGCAAATTTTTTCCCCCACTTCTTTTAAAACAAAGACCCAGAAACCGACAGCACAAATTAGTTTTTCATCCTTGAGAGTATTTCTATTTTAGTAACTACCAGTGAGTGCCAATCTGAAAAATCTGTCATTTGGCCAATGCTGCTGTATGTGCTCCTACAAAACGTGTCTAAAGTTTCATTATAAAAGAGAAAAAAATAGAGAGAAAGGAACAAAGAACCTCTTTGTTGGAGATGTGGAGGTGTTGGGGGTGTTTTTTTTCATTCCTTCTTGCTACGAGAAGAGCATTCACCTGAAGGAGAGACTCAGGAGAAGTGAGAGTCTGACAATGCTACTTTGGGCATAAGCAACTTCATGCCACTCATTTCCTGGAATGCTGTTTTTAAGAGACTATTTATAGAGAGGATAGCCATGAGTCCCATATCATGAGACTTACTGTTTGCCTTGCTCCACTATGGTCACTCATGTCATCACCAGCTATCACCTTCTACCCTTCCTCTGGCCCATTTGTGGGGAGAAGAGTCAGTACAGTGACTTCCATCTCCCACGATATGACCAGGACCGCTCTCCTCAGTGGGCTAACCAGGCAGTTTGCCTGCAGAGGTCTCAGGACTCGACTCCATCAGAGATGGAGGCAGGGGCGCTGCGATTACCCCAGCAGGAGCAGCCAGTGGGGCCAGAAGAATGAGTAGACTGGATTTTGTGTGTCTTTCTGCAACAAGGAGGTGAGGCAATGCCCCCATGCAGCTCCCTGCAGCTGCACTCCCCTTCACGGCTTGTCCTTGCAAGACATGATGCAGCAATGAGCTTCCTTGCTGCTGCTGCTAATACCTAGAGAAAACTAAAAAAAGTTAAATAAAGAAAGGGACTGGATTTGGAGCTGCAAGTTTCCGCGTACAGCAGGTTTCCTGGGCAATAGCAGAAACCATTCCGGTTTGCCCCAATCCCTGATGTAAGTTAGAGTGACCCAGAGACTGAATAACTTGCAGCTTCAAGTGACGTTGTAGTCAACTCTTGGTGCTTTTTCCTGTCCTGTGAAAGAGTAGAGCCAGTGCCCATTTATTTCTATGTCAAACACACCTGGAGATGGGAATTTCAAGAGGCCAGCAGGGACATGTGGACTGTGTAGGGGTGTGCATTTGGATAGGAGCGAAAACATCAGGAAGAGGTGCTCAGTAAGAGTTGCAGCTCACCCGTTCAGGTCAGCTGCGCGACAAACAGGTGGGCTCAGTGCGCGGTACCAGAAACCGCCTCTGCTCGAGTAGCAGGTGTCACGGTCTCAGATTTGCATTTGGTTCTCTAGCAGGGGTTATTCTCTAGCTGAAGTAACAAATACATGTTTTTGAAGCTAAAAAGACAGTACTTTGAGTGGATGTGAGAGGAGTTTGGGTTATTTGTAGAAACAGACTTCATCGAAAAACAGGCCCAAGAATTTTGTTTTCCACACAGCAAGGAAGCTGTTGTGCTGACACTGTGCCACAGCATGGAGGTGTCTGCGCAGGGCGCTAGGTGCCGCCTTGCACACGTGTGCCACCCTCACCAAGCTCTGGCTGGGCCTCGCTTGCCCCTCTTTCAGAGTGGCACTGTGCTGGAAGCAATCAGCGAAGTCATGTTTCAGAGCCAAGCTTAAAAACACCACTTCTGGAAAAACACAGCCAAACCTACCTAGAGAGCAGAAGTCCGTAAAGCTTGAAATTGTGCATGCCATTAAACGCAGACTAAAATCTGGGACAGGTGAGATTTTGGAAAAATTTAAACACTTATTATACATCTAAGAAAGCCCCTACAGTCCAGCCACAGATTTTGTAGGACTCTATTGCACAGCTGCTATCTGGCTTACTTCTGCAAGCCACACTACAGAGAAACCTTTCTTTGTTGCTTAGAAATCTCAGCCATTGGAGCAGGGGTAAAGGAAACCATAGGGAGGTGTTGGGTCAGGAGAAATAGGAAAGAGAGAGGAACTCTGTGACCTTATGTACAT